TTATCATGTGATCCACCAGTGGAGTGTGGCGATCAGAGTTTTCATGATTAGATAAAAGATAGTCAGTTGGCAGGGTACCTTTGAGAATTGTAAATTTCTCTCGGAGCAATCCAATCACACGTTCCACATGGATCCTTACATTTGCAATTCCTCTAGTCTGCTCCACGTCCACTGGGTCCAGCTGATATTTGCCCTTTGTAAAAGCTAGGATTACCAGTCTTGCTTGCTTGAGGACAACCCTTTCACTAATGGTAAATCCTCGGTCAGCCATCACCATATCTCCTGGAAGAAGCTTGTCCAGAAAACCACAGTTCTCTGTTACAAATTTATCAGAGACATGACCTCCCCAGGCTTCCAAAACAAAAGAAATCGTTCCTTGGGGGGTTATACCAACAAGAATCTTGACAGTGTTGTGGTGTTAATAACTGGAAAATGTCTGTGCTCTAGTAAGCAAGTTTGATGGTCTTTCAATGAACACCTCAAAACAGTCGATGACAACAGTTGTTTTCTTGCCAAAGGCATCCTGGAAACACTAGGGCATTGTCTTGCAAAGTTGATACCTGTCTGGCCAGTAAACAAAGGGAAACAGTCTCTAGTCCATTACCACAATCAAATGGAAAAATACTCTTGAAATAGTTGAAATCAATACAACAAAACAGTAGGCAAGATCCTGTAATGGTACATTAAGCCTAAGTTTCATGAGTACAATAATAAACTCTTGGAACCTATTGATTGACTGAGTTTGTTTTTTCACATGTGAAGCTACATGGTCAAACACAACCATTAGTACTTCCAAGGAAGGTAGACCAGTATAGAAGCAAACCTTCTCATCAGAGTTAAAGAAATCTATATCAGGTGCCCAATATGTGCTTTTTTGAAACATGTATTCTAATTCAGTGGTTTGGCATTCCAAATCCTTTAACTCTGTGTCTGCTTGGTACTTGGCATCTCTTATAATTTTCGTTCTGATTTCATCAGACTCATTGCCTTCATCACATGCCGTAAGATCACTGGAAAAGGCATCTTCGTTTCCAGTTTTTTCTTCTTCTGTGGAGGTGATTGGCTGATTTAAGTCAATCTGGGCCACAGGAAGACTTCTTTCACTGAGTTTCTGACGCTTCTCTGCTGCTTCATGTTCTTGTTGCTTGATGGCATGTTCCTCTCTTTTCTTCGCTCTTTCTTGCCTCTTTGCTCTCACTTCATAGTCTATCTCACGGCCATAACTTTTCTTTTTGAGCTCCAAAGTTGGTACCCAATCCACATTGTGCTTGTCCCAGTAAGGAGACGGCTTTCCAGACACAAAATACTTGCCACATACTCGTTCATTTTTGAGAACGTCTTTTGCTTTTATGTCGCCCTGACTTATTGCTTGTATCCACTTTCCCTTCCTCTTTATTGTCAATTCTTCTTCGAAGGCAGACTTATTCTTTATAACTGATGGTATTTGATAAAATCCAATCCCTTTGTCCCAATCGCGTCTACAGCCAAAGCTAAAAACTACACAATGGACCATTTCTTCTATCTCACTTTCACCTTACTATAAGCGCATTTGTAACTATTTGTTTGAGCACCAACATGGCAGATACCAACCATTGTCATGACAAAAATCACGAGGGTAAAAACCAAGAATGATAGAGTCCTTTTGAATGAAAAAAACCTATGATTTCCAAAAAGGGTTATCAACCTGAAGGCACTGAAGAAGTATTTGTTGTGTCATGCGTGGTTCCTGAAATAGTGTATACCTATAGAGTCAAAGAAGTGGACAATACACCTGTGAGAGGCCCATTTTACAAACAAGACTTGCAAAAAGTACAAGTGCCTGATGAAGCCTGGTATCAAGATGACAAGATTTGAAGCACAAGACAATAAAGTGTTAGCTTAATGGCATAGGTGGCCTAATAAATATAACTCATGGGTTGATAAGAAAGTCATGCAGAACACATGATGGATTTCTACGCTAACTTGGAGAGCGAATCCTGCATGGATGAGTTCCTGGATAATTTACATGACAGTTTTAAGAATCGAATGCCATATACCTTTAGATCCTTTTTTAGCATTAGAGAAACCTCTTACGATTTAAGAGGAAATTGTATTAATCTTTGCCTTACCAAATTTAGTCTTATGAGGAACTCTTTTACTTACAAATGCACTCAACTATAGAATAAAGTTCCAGAAGATGTCAAGCTGGCCAATGATGTTGATGTTTTTAAGTCTAAGATCAATTCAGCTGTAATTTTATGTTTTTTAATATATTTTGTGTGTAAGTTTATAACATTTTGTATTTGTGTGTACATAGATTATAGATTATGTATTTAAATCTTTTTTTTCTTTTAATACTAGATTCTATTATTGTAATTGTAGATTTAATGCCCTTCGTAGTTTGAATGAGTACTTGTGCTCTTATATAATAACGTGGTTAGATAAATTATGGATTGATTGATTGACCACCAACTTCAAGAAGCAAAGATGGAAAGTGCGATTGGCTAACATCAGTTACCCTCTTAAGCCTCCCATGGGAATTATCCTTTGACATGATATGAAAAGAGGGTGATATGGTTTTATGTGGTAATGTTTCCATGGTACAAGATTTTGAGGCCAACAAAGTGGTGGTCACTAGTTGGCTTGGCTTGAATTACTGGCTTACCGACACACCTTAAAAAACAGAATAGAGCTCATGGAAATGCTGGTGGATTATTACAAGAGTATCTGGATACAAGAAGGCAGTTACAGATTTAATCATTGAAAAATATGACAAAATAAGGAATGACCCCTGGGAGTTAGACTATAGTCTTGCTCAAGAGAAAAGGCTATATTACATTTCTATGAGACAAGGATGACTTATGAATTGACAACTATCAAACCAGAAAGAGTACAAGGATGTGTCTGGAAATTTCATAGGTGCACAACCATACATTCAATTTGGTTTAGAATTGGCTAAAGCACTGAACTGGATTCGTCATGATGTTCAAAATGATTTCTTGGAGCTGGCAATTCATAATCTACAGATTGATTCCCCAGAAAAACCTGCAGAGAAACCTCCCAATCACACTGGTTTTTGGAAAGTCAACATCAAGTATCTTAATCTCTGTGTGTTTTGCAATTGGAAATTTGCCAATCTCATCAAACTTTTGCTGCTATAATGGGATGGAGTGTTACTAAAGATCATGAAATTAAAAGCACCTTGCAAGTAGAATCAAATGTGACAGCTAGTATGATTATGGGGAATCACACGACAAAACCTTTTACCTTGTAGAGTTAACTTTGGAGATATGTAGACCATTTAAAGTGTATTGAAACTGGGTTGGGAACTTTTTACATGTTATTCCAAGATGATAACATTTTTTAACATTAAAGTTAAGTTGCCCACTTTTCGACCATAAAGATAACTGGTTCAGGTCGTTCTGTAAAGACAAGTAGTCCTGCGAACTTTGAATTTCGTTGTATAGAATACAGTCATCAGCAAAAAGATGCAAATTAGCATTTATACAGTTTGTGAGATCATTTATATACAATAGAAACAACACCGGCCCCAAAATTGAACCTTGCGAGACCCCAGACAAAACAGGCTTGGGAGAAGATTGAGTGCCATTTATGGAGACAAATTGAGCATGGTTGGACAGGAAGGCCTTCATCCACAACAGCAAATTTCCTCTAATACCATAATAGTCCAATTTCAGCAGTAGCCTTTGATGGGGTACCGAGTCAAAAGCTTTCAAGAAGTCAAGCAGGATACCATCAGTCTGGCAGCATACATAAATTGATTTGGCCCAGTCGTGTATGGTTGTTATCAATTGGGTTTCGCAGGAAAAACGCTGTCTAAAGCCATGTTGCTCATCGATAATGATGTTATTTTTAGACAGATGTTTGGCCATATGACTGAGCACAACGTGCTCCATTACTTTATAGAGGTTAAGGAGATTGGTCAGTAATTGAGGGAAGAGATTTATTGTCTTTCTTATAAACAGCAGTGATAAGGGCCTTGGACCGATCTGAAGGGACCGTGTTGAGATTAAGTGATTGCTGAAAAATAAAAGCAAGCCAT